AACTGCATAATCATTCATTTTGTTGCTGTCGTTAACCCTTCCTATACTTCCCATTTGCACGTGCTTTGGATATAATTATCTGAGGATGACAAACTAACTCTTCTTAATATTTAGTCGGATGATTTTTTTGCCCCAAAATAAGCTAAAGCAATTCAATATTTATACAACAGATACAGAAAAATAAGGAAAAAAATGTAATGATCATTTGAAAAGTATTAGGACATAACAACATCATAATAACAATGATATGGTTAACTTCATAACAAAAAGTTTTTAATTTTTTCATCGAAATGTGCGGATTTGGTACTTTTTCTTCCATATATCCTTCATTAGGTCCTCAACGTGTGCTTAATTCTACTTTAGAAGTCAGATTAAATTTGAAATAGGTGCTCATCAGAAGAGTTCCAAACCAACTTCAGTCTCAATGTCAAAGAAGGAAATCAAGTCGGTAAGGATTAAAATATTTCTTCATTTTTCTAGGATTCTACCCTTAATTAGCAGAATCAAAGGGACCACTCTTAAATTGTTAAAGGATCACTCCAACCACTACATAACCCAGAATTTGGCAGAATTAGAGAGATTACATTTGATTTACTTATTTGGGAAACCAGAAAAAGTAGATCACCATACTATTAGGTGACAAATTTTGATCCGAAAATTTGATCATGATTTCATGAAAAAATCTCGATTATCGACTAAGTCAAATAAAAAAAAGGGCTAATACCACGAAAAACTCCAAATTGGTATATATGTGACAAATTTACCAAAAATTTATTTTTTTACTACCAAAAACCTTAAACTGGTACACCCGTAATAATTTTACCCCACATTAGCTTCTGTTTGTTAGGGCTAGTGCATCACCTAGAGGGGGGGTGAATAGGTGATTTTGTCAAATTTGATAATTAATCGTGTGAAATGAATATAATCAAGATTATCAATTTATATGGACAAAATTAGGTGGATGAGTCTGATGAACTTGTATGTAAAATTGTGATCAGATGATTGCGTCTGATGACAAATTGTCGTCAGATGGATGCGTCTGATGACTATGATGAAGTTCTGATGACCTTGATTAACAGAAATGTATGCAGTACATTATCAGCAATAATAAATGAGAGTTTAGGGATAGAGAATTTTGCACACAGATCTTTATAGTGGTTCGGTTTTGTCAAGCCTACGTCCACTCTTTACGTTGGCAGCCTATTGGCTGTGTTTCACTATTGAATCACCAAGAAATTATAAGAGTAGTGCTTCTCAGATAATAGATCACACTATCATGTACGCTCAACACTCAGGTAATTTTCTCTCTAAAATCACAACGTGGAATACTGTAATCACAAGTGTGTAAGATCGAAACTTTATTCAGACTTTGGACTTTTCGACTCTTGTTTTTTTTCTTTGACGTATGCACTCCTTTTATACTCCTCTACTTCCATTCTACCCGTTGAACAGTCTTCAGAGGATTTATCTCCAAATCAACCCGTTGGAGAAACTTCCCAAAGAAAGATACATAGCAGTTAGAAAATGAACCATTATCTCCAATTGATTTAATCACCCATACAATCAAATCTTGGTTTACATAAGTGTAGTTCTTCGTGTTTAGAAATAATCTTGTGATTACCAAATAAGATATCTTGATATATCAATTTGATCATTCTGCATAAACCTGCCAAAAATAACACTTATTGAATCTGATGAGAAATTCTGAGTCTGATGACAAAGTCCTTTCATCGACTAAGTCTGATGACTCAGTATTTGCCTGCATCAAATAACTTAAGCATAATTTTGATCAGAAATGATTGTTTTGTCATTCTTCAAAACTAATTAGGGATTTTTCTCAACACTGTTAACTTTTACTGTCAAATTCCTGAGTTGAATGATATGTGGCAATTGACAAGCGTACCGATTTGGGTTTTTACTCGATAAAAAAAAAAGATTGAATTGGGTGAGCACCAGAGTTCAACTTCTAGTGTCCTCGTTGTAACTAATCCTGGAAGGCTGGTCTATTTACAAGATTGACGGGCTATTTGTCCATTTTTCTTTGAGTCAATAATAAATGGACAAATTGCCCAAGAAAAGTCATTCAACCAAAGACCTCTTCTCGCGGCAACAGATCCTTCTTGAAAGATCAGTACTTATAATCAATCCTGATGCTTAGTCATGGCTTTTTGAAGGTTTAGCAATGGACTATCTATAGTAGCAGTAATTTTAGCTGCGGATTTAGCCGCCCCCTAGAATGTAATTCCTTTGATGGTAGCCTCACCATAAAGTTGGGTCATTTTCTCAAAAAATTATCCAGAGTGAATTTTTTTTCCAAATAAAGATCCGAAATGGTTAAGTCAGTTTCAAAAAGGGATTTGAAGTCGCCCGCCGGTTAGACTAGAATGGGGGCAATTATGTCCGAAATATGCAATTGGTTGAAAAATGAAGAAATTCCCCAAATTGACTTGGGATTAGGTTTCTTCCTTCAATTTTTTACGTTTTCTTCTTCCTCTCCCGCTGCTCAAGCAAATCCCTCTCGCTCGCTCCTCAATCGCTCCGCGCTCGATCCTGGCCACTCCTCACCTGATCCTCATCACTCTTTGCTTGCTCCATGCAAGCTTCATTCAGTTATCTGCCGTTGTCTCTTCTTTCTCGAGTTTTGTCGTCCGTGAGCTTTTAAGTCATTCTTCACATGCTTCAAGTTTGCTATCCGCAACCACTGGGGTTTGTCCTAGAGGCCACCCTTCCTACTTGGGAAAGAGGAAGTGAGAAGTTCAATTTCCCACCTTCTCAAGAGAGGCTAGCGATGAAAATGTTTAGTTTGTGAGTTTTGACTCCCACACTATGCAAAATGCAAAGTGACAGGACAAAAGTCTAAAAGACCAAAAAAAAAAAAAATCCACCGTCCGCAAGCTTCACTCACATTCAACTGACCTTTGGTCATAAGGCAATGAATGAAAGATAACCATACTTAAAGATGATTTCCATAAGGCAGAGGATGTTGATGATGTTGCAAGTTCATGATTGAAAAAAAGCATGATTAAAACACCCAATAGAATCTTTTCTCGTTCTACTTTGTTAAAAGTCGTTCCAATTGATCTGGCTCTTTGCAAGAGGCCTAAGACGATTCAGCAAGAGTTCTCGTCACAAACCGGGGGGGATCAATTCAATTGGAAAAAGCCGCAATTTCCTCGCTACAATGTTAAGAGTAAACAACATTGACAATACAATTCAGTACTTGCTCTCATCTTAAGCCAGCTCAACAAATACACACAATTCTTATAATACCCCAACTAACAGGTGCACAACACACCGGCCCATAATTGCCCTTAAACGAGCAGTCCACTCCAAGCATATCACCAAAACCAGACTAGGCTTTCAAATGTTCAGACAATTGCAAGAAAGCAGACCTTTATGTAGCTATTACCGTATGAAGCTAGAGCTCGAGTTCATGCTTAACTATGCAGAGATAAATCACACGATTGCATTCAACGAAATACCAGCTGCCACATCACTCGTGCCTGTTCTTCAACGATTTGTTGGTGAAGCCAGAGCTTGAGCTCAGGCCCATGCCTCCCACCACTGATGGAGCTAATGAAAGCAACCACCAAATTCCTCCAGTTGAGCGGCACTAAGAATAAAATGTGCACTAGAGCGAAAGAGGCACTGAAGAAGGACTCGAAGCTCGCGTACAACGGACTCAAAGCTCACGAAGGACTTGAAGCTCGCGGACGATGGAACCTGAGAAAGAAGGGATGACGGCGGATGACAGATTGAAACAAGAGAGTAACGGCGAGGACCGAGGAGAGGGCGAGAGCCATTTGCTTGAGCAGTAGAAAGGAAGAAGAAAACGTGAAAATTTGAAGGAAGAACCATAATGCCAATTTAATTTGGTGATTTTCTTCTTTTTTTTATCGAATTGTAAATTTCCAACAAAATTTCCCTGTACTAATCGTCGGAAAATGTCAGCCGGCAACCATATACCCTTATTTGAGACTGATTTGATCATTCAAGCTCTTACATGAAATAAAATCTACTCCAAATCATTTTTTGCGAAAATGGCCAAACTTTAAGTTCTTATTTGGAATTTACTCCAGAGTTTAAAATACCATATTAGTTTTAGAAAATTACGAGAAATTTGTATGTGAATTTGTGTATCAACATTTGAGTATTGTGAAAGTTTCAAAAACTAAAAACTTAAGAAAAATTAAAGTACTTGAATCGTTAGTTTTGTATTAAATCAAAATTAAAAAGCCAATCTAGATAGGCATTATTGCTTAGGTGCTTAAAACTTCCTCTAGCGCATGAATGATTATAGCATGAAACAATACATTTACAGGCCGTGCATGTAAATAAAAAATTGCACAATCTAATAAACTTGCTTCTACATCGAAGTGATTGGTTCAGTGGTAAAAGGATTTACATATCTTTCGTGAGATCACGAATTTAACTTGCGATACAAGCGGTACCTTGAAAGGCTCATGCTGCGATACCTAATCATGGCATTTCTCGTGCAGAAGGAATTCTTGATTGATATCATGTTGATCGGACTGCGTTAACGAGCTCACTAATTATGGACCTACGGATCTTGGCCAGTGATGATGACTCAAACCAAAAGTCTCGTAGCGCGTGTAGAACCATTACGCTGTAGCCAAGAGAGAATTGCCAGTACCAATAGTTCCTCCCTGCCTTGTTCACCGTTAAAAAAAATTGGATAAATGCATTAAAAAATTTAAATTTTATCAAGATAGTATAATTAAGTCCTAAAATTTTAAAAAGCATAATCATATCTTAAAATTTTTTATTTTCAAAAAACTTTCATAACTAATTTTAGGGCTTAATTATAATTTTTAAAATATTTAATACTTAATTACATTTTTATGATAAGTTTTGATTTTTTCAGTGCACTTTGGAAAAAGAGTAGCTCCTTTCAAAATTAGTTTCAGGTCCTTTAAGAATAAACTATTTGCGGAAAAACCCCTCCGTCAACGCAAAAACCACGGCCGAAGCGAGCTCCCAAGTCAAGCAGACGGCGAAAGATCACTGGAAACCAGAAACAATGGAGGCATGGGACGAGCTCCGGCGAGCACAAACCCGAATCCTCGAGCGCATTTCCAACCTCGAGCTCTCTCTCCTCTCCAGGACTTTCGCTTCCTCCTCCTTCGCCGTCTCCTCGCCGCCCGCCGCGAGCGGCGGCGACGCCGCCTCGGCCTTCTCCGGGCAGCTCTCGTCGCCGCTCGCCGTCGCGGCGACTTCGGATTCCGGCCCCTGCACCGAAGCCCGCCTCTCGGCGATCCTCAGGAGCGGTGGCGTCGCGGACTTCGCTTTCAAGAGAGTTCCGGGGGATTACTACGAGCGGTCGTACGAGGAGAGGCAGAGGATCCTCGGCGCGCACTCGATCGATCACCTGTGCAAAAGCATCGTCGTGGTGAGTGTTGTCTCGTGTGTTTGTTGGAATTCAGCACTAGGTTGCTTGCGATCTTGATTGCGTAGACGAGTGGAGTAGAAATGCGTAGGGGCCAGTCGGTTCGTTCTAGCATTTCGCTGTTGATTGTTTCGGCTTTTTTGGCCTTGCATTGAATCCTTGGGCGACGATTGTTGTCGTTAGTTTCGATTTTGGTTGAAGGAAGTTAGGAAGTTTAAGATGGATGGTCTTGATGGATAAGAAAACGGAGCTGACTTTAGATTATGATCAGTAATGCGGACATTTCAAAAAACTTTGTAAGGCGGAGGTGACTACGGGTTGGTTAGAGGAGGTTCCGGAGTTGATACTGAATGACTGAAGAGAGCATTTGCAGCCATGGTCTTTATTTTGTTGAATACATAGATTCTTTGTTTCCTGGTTCTCCATTGGCATTCAATGGACTTGCTATTAGATAACTTTGCCAGACTAAGTAGTTTGTGTATGAGCTGCGATGATGAGCACGGGTTTGCGAAGAAAGGGAAAACCATACCTATAGATTGCATCTCCGGCCCTTTTCAGAAGCAATATATCACATGATGGTACAGTTTAAGACACCCTATGGATGATATTGCGATGCTAAGGTCCTCCGGAGAAGAATTACGGTGCTTGAGAATTGAGGAAGGTTAACGTGTAGGGCCTTCGTCACACACATTCATGTAAGCAACCTGCACGTGTGTACAAATGCTTATACACACTCGATGGGGAATGTTGGTTTCGGCAAGTATAATCAAACTGAATGTAAACGTAAGACTCAATATCCCCCAGAAATAGTTAACAACTCAAAATAAGGAGAAAATGGAAGGGAAAAGGAGCCATTGTTGGTGAAACATTCACTAATTGTGGTTCTTTTCTTTACACCAATTAATGGGCTACTTATTCTTTTTGTCTCTATTTCTGTGGGGGATGTAAATGAACACGAAAATGGATAGTCTCTAAGTATTTAATCTGGATTATTTCTATGCCTTGTCAATTGGTTTGTAGCTTTAGTGTGTTTAGACATGAAACGTGGCTGATATCTTTCAGGGATAGGACAGATCTCCAGCCTTTCCAGAAATTTGCTCCCAATAGCTACTTTATGGACTATTGAGTAATCTATTTCTGGCATATATGTGGTTTGGGGCTCTTCTGTGATAAATGTTATTTCTTGCATAGTTGAAGGGCATGGGCTTACACATAATGTGTTGTAATAGTTTTCTCCGTATTCATCACAAGTAGTTGTTCGATACATTTGTTGTCCATTTTTGGTAAGAGAAATTTCGGGATTATCTTGCATTTGAAATTTTGTCTGCACAAGATCTGATGATTATCTTGCATGTCAAGTTCATGCCTTGCAATTGTTGATGGTCAGAAAAATTCTTATAACTTATTTTCCAAATGGGCTCATTATAGTTTCTGGACATGAAATTTTATGAAAATGAATGGTAAGCTTGAGTAGAACTCAATATTAGAGCTAATGTTGCCTCATTAATTTCAGGTGAATACTCAAGCTCCATCTACTGTCATTGATTGCAAGGATCGAAACAATTCAAAGTATTATGTTGTAGTTGTTCAGGTATCTTGTTTTCTAGATCAGTTGGTATCCTGCTGAAGTACTAGCTACACTAACACTTTTACCTTGTCTCTTGCAGTATACTGCTCGGCTTAATGCCGAAGCTCTAAAAAACTATCTTTATGCACTCAACGATGGCAAGGTGCCAAAAAAGAAATTCAATTGTAAGTTCTCGCCATTCACCTGACTTCTTTAATTCCAAAGGTTACAGTTTGATCTGGATGTATGTGGAAATGCGGACTCATCTTTTAAAGCTGGACTTAATGGAGCAACAGTTGACTGGCTAATTCTATGGGGTAAAACAAGGTGACAAAAAAGCTTGTTATTCTCTGTGAACTCAACATACTGTTGGAGTCTTTAGTTTAGTATCTTTATTTTGAGTGCAAGTTGATTCAAGGATGAAGATCTAGTGGCTGCAATCGATTCTTGTATGCAAAGGAGGCAAGCTCATAATGTACACGGAAAATTGGTATTATTGCCTTTGAGTTTTTCGCTTTTTGGAACCAATTGATGAAGTTTTGCTTTGATGACTTCATGTAACCGATCTATCCTATCTATGTATTTAATAGCTTAATAAATGGCGGCACACGGGGAGGGTACTCCTTTCAGTTTTTCCATGAAATTAGGTCTCTTTATGTGAGATAACAGTTCTTGAAAGCTGCTCCCTCTCTGCTAATGGTGTTCCTTTCTCCACAACTAGCTTGCTAGTTGATAACTGGAGTAGTTGGTTTAGAGCCTTTGGATTCCTCCATATATTTTTATGGTTCTAAGTAGTCTGTGCTTTAACATAGACCTCCTTCTTAGACTTATTATCAGAAGCGAGACTCAACATCGAAGCATGACAGTGTATAACTATTATCAGCATGGATAGCAACTAATTATCCTATGTTTATCTTTATCTATACATCATTAAGGGAGTACTTATTCTTGGGAGCTGCTGGACTTTGAAAATCGTGCAACTTTGCCTACTCAGCAGAAAGTCTCAGACAAGTGTCTTTTCCGTTGTAGGTTTGTCTGTACCCAAGACAAATTTGACGCCTTTTAAGTTTTCAAATCTTTGGAAATTTAACCCTTTTTTGGAAAGATTTTGAAGTGTGCAAGGAAAATGAAGGTGAAAAAATTGGGAAGTGAAGATAAAAAAAGTGAGGAAAAGAATTCTTTAGGCATTTTTGGAAAAGATGGAAGGAAAGATTATATATATATATAAGTCCGTTTTCACCAATAACACTGGATGAAGAAAATGACAACAGGTTTGTTCTTTTTCTAAGATGAGGGTGCTTTTGGAAACTGTATTTTTTTGCATTCTCATGCTTTGGGAGTACTACAAAATGGTGAGTACTAGTGATTCCATTCTTTAACTTATTCTAACCTCATTTCCAACATATCTTAGACAAACAAATTTTTGAACTCACTATTAATTCTTTCACTGAAATAACCCTATTTCAAATAGAGGGTAAATGATTTACAATTTGCTGGTTCAGCAGATTCTGCTGCTAAAGAAATGTTTCTGGATTTCTTCATAAAAAGATAAGTACCGAGTGTATACTTGGACCCAATCCTTGTTAATTAGAAGTTAGCTTATTTGGGCGACATAACATGATTCTAGCTATATAATAGGAACTTTTCAAAAAGATGCCATTCTTTTAATCTAATCTTAACTTTTTTTCACTAGTATTTGGATGCTCAAGTGACTACTCTTATTGCCTTATCACATTTTGATAGTGGTTGTAGGCAGGGGGTTGGGGATTGTTGTGTTTGGGAGTCTTTGTTAGGATCATATGAAGTAAGTATCCATAATGTCTGTGACTATTCTGATTAATTGGATTGGACGGCTTGTTGCTATTTATGGGATTCAGATGGGTCTTCCTCAAATAAGAAAATCTGTGTCTTCTCAGAGAGCGATTCCTCATTTCTAAAATGTGACTAGTCTGATCACTTGGAACAGCTTGTTACTATTGACGAGATTGCCCGTCTTCTTGGAGAGTGATTTCCCACTTCCACCATGTTGACATATCTTTTCAGGGTTGCATCAATGTCGAGTAATTTAGGGACATTGAGGCATGAGTGCACATGTATCTGCTGGGCGAGTGACAACAGGTTGAACTATGACGGCTAGCAATCAATATCTTGACACATTGTCCATGGGACATGATTTAGGTTGCTGCAGGCCAATGTTAGCACATAGACATAGCGGTTGAGCTGCTCAGGCATATGCATGACTGGCCATATATGAGAACCAGCATGTGATTATGCGCTAGCTCAGGTACTTTAAATGGGTAGGGTGGAAATTGGGAGTCTATTCTCATTTAAGAAAGAGATTATCTTGTTGCTATGAACATTAAGAGATATGGAACTGGCGATAAAGAAAAATTCTTCTTCTAGTCTTGAAAGTTAAAGCTCTTCTTTTATACTTTTAATACTTGGCATATACTTCTTTTGACCTTGGAAGTTGTGAATGGAATGTATATTGACTGCCTCTGCTTTTAGTGAGGCTCGCCCCCGAGGAGACATCCCTGATGTTGACTGGATTTGAGCACAACGCAGTAACATGTATTGGCATGAAGACTGAGATTCCGGTATAGAATACCATATCTGTGGCTATACTGATTGGGTTTCAATTTTATTTTTGCATATGAATGAATATTCAATGTATCCTCTTTCTGTTACTTGCTTCGAGTTCGTTTATCCAACCTTGGTTGTCTCATCGGGCCAAGTTGTTCTCAACTACCCATGTTCATAACGCGAAATAAGATGTTGTTTGGCTGTAACAAGTTTTTATTTCTGTTTCATGGCACATGGACATTACATGACATACTTGTTGCATTTGGTGTCATTCTATTGACCTGGGCTGCTTTGTAAGCTGCAACATGTGGGTCCTTGAGGTTTGATGGTCTATGAAAAAGTTCTTTCTTTCTAGCTCGTTGTTAGGGTGTCTGGGCTATAAACAAGTTCCTACTCTTTTGGTTATCTTTGAAGAGAGGAGGTTTGTATTCTTTCTCAATGGCTTTTGTCCTGCTCCTGCCAACATTTGTGCCAGCTGTTTAGGTGGTCCATTAACTTATATTTCTCGAAGGCTATAAGTTATTACCTATAAATGAAGTTTATGGCCATTAACTCTAGGATCTCCTAATGTCTTTGTGGTCCAGACCATGTACAGATGTCTTAATTTTCTTAAATTCTAAGGAACAAGTGGATACAATCCGAGAAATTACTATCTTCATTTGTAAATTTTCCCTTTTTTCTTGTTCTGGTATTTTTCAGACGCATGATTTTAAGTTTGGTTGAGCGTTTATATAAATATTCAAATTTAACAAATGAGGACAGCCACCTATTTTTTGCAATAGTGACCCTCTTTCATGGTACTCTTGACATTCTTATCTAAAAATATGTTCCTTGAGAGTGTTTATATACATATTTAAATTGCATAAGTGATAAAGACGGTAATTTTGCAAAAGTGACCCTCTTTCATGGTACTCTTGACATTCTTATATGAAATATATGTTACTTCAGGTGATTCTGGATGAAGCCATTGTGAAGCTTAATGCCGATTTCTTCTGGCTAGGAGGTGGGGAGGTTGATCTGAAGCTTGGAATACGGACTCCTCAATTCATTGATTGCGTCAAACCTTTCATCGTCAGCTGCAGTATGTGATTACGCCAAAGGAAAGCTCTATCATATAAGGTCAACATTTGCTTTCCTGCGATATTCAGGTCGGGGTGATGATATTTTCAACACCTCTCTCATTTTACCATCAACCATTTGTCAACTAATTCAGAGAAAAGCAGTAGCTCCAGCTGTGTTGGTCTGTTAGAACCACCTGAACACATTTATTATTCTTCTAGATGATTGGAATGATTCGTAGTAAGAAAATCGGAGAAAGTTAGAAGCAGTTTTTACAAGAAAAGCCAGACCGGTGGCGGTAATTCTTTCTGACTAGTGTCTTGCATCCTGAATCACTGTGTCCATTCCAACGTGGTCTGTGGACAATGGACATATGCCTATTTAGTACTCTGTCAGATCTTTGTCTCCCCGGTGTCATTGGCTTTCAGGAGAATGTCAGTATTAGTTCTATGTACTCGCTGTCATCCTTTGAATTTGATCCTTCGACTTTAAGTTTTTGTTCGATTCGATCCTCAACCGAGAAGGGAGTCTCCCTTTGAACTTCTTATTAACAGAAGCGAAGCAACATGTTTCATGCAAAAAGATTAGCCAGTGAGCAGATCTGCTTTTGGGCGCTATGCACTTAAATGACTGATCGTGCAATGTCGAGGGTTTGGATCGGACAAGATGATTCGAGCTCCATTTATTATACATCAAATTACATAGGGAAGGATACCACCACCCCAGAGAAGCAAAAGAGTAAAAAGCAGGAATGATATGGCTCAGAGTGGGGGTTCTTCGTTGTGAATGGGCGGCTTACGATGGGGCTGTGCGTAGTCCATTGCCACCACGTCGCCCTTCGCGTCGTCTTCTAATTCTCCGGAATTTATGGCTTCCTTGTCGTGATCACTATTTGCAGATTCCACCATCAACCTGGCTTTGGAAACCCTGGATACCTGTATCAATCGGAAAGAGCCGAGATCAAATATATATCAATCTTTCTTCTCTCTATGACCTTGATCACAATAGAGTTTATCAATCCAACCACACCTACAGTATCAACCTCGAAATTTATATATATAAGAAAGATTAATCGTATACCTCCAGTTCTGCATCGGCCTTAAAGGGTCGTGCCACGCTGCCCTCGTGTCCTGCGGTTCGCAAGACGGATTTTACTTCAGCGATGATACCAAAAAGAAAGCTATATAAAATTATTTAACGTGCTGAAACTTTTAGAGAGGACATGGCTATCGTACGGGGTGCAGTTTCGCGTAACTCTTGATATTTCTACACAAGATCGATATCCCATCGACATATAACAACGGGATGGAAACTGAAAGAAGAATGCCAACCAAAAGAAGCCCTAGACAAACTTCACAGCGATAATGTCACCAGACTCGTAGGGGTGAGCATGGTCCAAGTGGGCGGTTCCTATCCTAGAACCGGGAACCGCCCACTAAAGATCGGTTCCAAAAAATTGAAACTAGTCCCACCATCCAAGGATGGAGATGGAGACGGAGAGTCGGAGACGATGGGGTGAGCATCGATCGACAAGAGTGAGAGAGTGAGAGTGAGCATGTGGCGAAAACGAAAGAAGGTGTTTCTCAGTTCAGTATGAGACTATAAGAGTTAGGTTTAATTTAGAGATTTATAATTTCTTATTTTTTAATTAAAAATTAAATAAATAAATTATATTATTATTATATTACCAGTCCGGTCTAGGTAGGCGGGTGGGCGGTTCCACACTTGGAACCGGGAACCAGACCGGTACCCACCGGTTCCCAAAAATTGGAACTAAGAACCGGACCAGTTCCCTTAGGAACTACCGGTTCCGGGCAGTCCCGGGCGGTCCGGGCGGTTCCCGGTTCTTTTGCACACCCCTATACTCTATCTCCGTTCTCTTTGTTTACTTCTTGGGCGACGTATTATGGTCTACCACATACAAGATGGGAGTTATTAGAACTTAGTAAAGACGATGAAATTGCGATTAAAATGTCATAGAAAAAACTGGAGTTCATCTACATAAGATTGATTTTCGCGTCGCCAAAAACAAATTTATATCTAACAAAAAATAGTAGGAAAGGGTGAAAACCTCATGCTTTTTCATCGGCATGTGCCAAAGAAGAACTATCGCTGATGCCATGTACGTAAATAATGCAAATACAAGCAAAAAAAGAGCATTGAACTAAAGAGACATGAACTTGGAGGCGTGAGGAGAGCCGATGAGATAAGCCGAAACGTTTGGATATGTCGGGTAATAAAAAAAAAATGTTTAACGTCTATACATGATATGTGCACTTGTTTTTTTAACCTGAACTCGTTCTGTCTATGACTTGTTGCTTTCTCAGATGACCCATTAAATCCTTAAGCTCTTCGTGATGAATGCTTGCGGGGACAATTTCTGCGCTATTTTCCTTTCCGGGACGCAAATTCTGAATTTCTATATCCTGCATGGGACGGAAATCCATAAGTCTTATGAGGACCGACTTCGTGCAATTTAACTAATACTTTTCTCTTCGCGTTTGGGACAAGAGATTGGAGAGAACTAGAATGAGGAAAAACCAAACCAACCTTGCTGAGTTGATGCATCTGGTTGCTAGGGTTTCGTCCAACACTAGGGCCAAAACGACGGGCGTTGCGTGCATGCACCGATAAAAGACACGAGAGAAGGAAAAGAGCTACGGAACTAGACATTGCGCTGTGATTGTCTTTCAGGAAGATCTTTTAGCTTTGTGAGAAGGTGGAAAGAATGACCTGAGTGCGGAGCGTCTGTTTGTGGTATGTTACGGTTCTTGTGGGTGTAATATGCGACCTTTCACAGGCTCTTCTGCCGTATAAGTAATGCCTTGGGGCATGTTGGTGAGAGGGAGCAATAAATGCTCGGTTTTGTACGCCATGAAAGGAGAACATGCAGGTGTTTGGAGATCATGATGAATTGCATTTGTTATGGAACACGGGACTGGAGATATTGAGGGGCCTCCTGTTGTCTCCCAGCACTCGAAGTTTTTGCATTAAAAACACGGATGATGAACAAAGAAAGAGGCCTAGGTTTTCCACTTGTTCGATACCTCGACAAACCCTGCGTCTTACCAAAGAAAATTCTCAATTTTAGCGTGTGTATATAGCATAGTAATACGAATTCGATTGAAAGAGTGATGTATGATTAGTATAATTGATAAACCACAACAACACGTGAGGGTTTCTTGTGAAGGGTAAGGTTCATATGATTTTGAACTCGCACCGATCAATACAAGATTGCAATTTAGAGGTGTCTTTGCTAACTAGCCTCTGTAATTTTCAAGATGACACAACATGTCACGCATATCGCTATCACAGCTTGTGTAGAGAAGTTCTTTTTTACAGAGGTTGTGCAGCAACTAAACATAAACCCTAATCATTTTCATTTTATATGTGTACTTTCATGTCTCGTGACGAATAATAACTAGTAGTTTAGATATTCCGTGTCATCCCATGACAAAGTCTTCTCGATGCATTTCTATGTACACGTAATTATCATATGGATTCGTGAACGATATGAAATGACTTAGCAAGCATATGAAGTTAGAACATTTGGGCACGAATCTACCAATGTTTTTTCGGACCTTTTCCTTTTCATTGTTCGGCCAAAATCTGTAGGCCGTTAAAATTACCTACTCTCGATGAAAAAAATCTCGGCTCAAAGTGGGACAAAGCTTTTGGAGGGGAGGCATGGTACCATGAGTAGAATATTAACAAATATTGTAAATGTCTTAGGGCCTACCCACGTGGTTTGACACACTTTCGTGGCGGCACAGAATTTATTACTTGCATAGCTCGATTGAGAGAGGAAGTTCTCAATAGTAGTACAAAAGCATTCACAAGTGAATGAGCATGGATGGAGAATGGCCCTGAACTCTTTTGAGAGTTTTTCCTTTACACGACCCATGAACGAATGTCATTCCGACGCGTAAGTTAAAAGAATTCCCCCATTGTGTTTCCGAAAGCAGGATTTAGAGGGGAAAAAACACGATTGCACGGCCAAATCGATCCATCGCGAACGAGATTCTACTCGAATTGTTGCGTTGTAAGGGATCCGGTTACGAGCGTCGTCGGTGTCAAAACCCTATCGACGACATGCAACGTGAAAAGAAAAGGGATAATGATACAAACAGTCTTTAAACTTTGGCACAATGTGCAGTGCTATCCTTGAACTTTTAATTTGTTCAATATCGTTTCTAAAATATTCAATGTAATTCCTGAACTTGAATTAATAGAAGAACTTCATTGAACATTTTCATAGAGTTTGGGAACTACAATGAACATGTACCAAAAGTTTACGACACTGAACAAATTAAAAGTTCATAGACTACATTGCATATTAGGTCAAAAGTTCAGAGACTGTTTGTGTTATTTTTTCGAATGAAAATGATGTGTAGACGACTAAAATTGCTCTTCGAATGGACCGATAAATGGAGGGAAACAGGGGGGAACACATGGGGCCTCCCAAAGAATGGAAGGAGGAGACAGGGTCGCATGGCCAGACCGCCAATTTGCAAAAACTCCTCTGCTCTCTTCCCTCCGCAAATGCACCACCACCCCCCACCACCCCCTTCCCCTTCGCCATCGTCGGCGTGGTCCATGCACGCCACGTGGCAGGACCTCCATGTGCCCTCGGCGCGTCCGTGGGTCCCACGGATCCTTACTGTGATTAATCGACTTTGATCATACGGGCATTGGCTTTTGGCCAGAGAAAAAAACATCACGAGACGAAACTCCGGTGAGTCGTCGGTGTATGTCTTCTTCTCTCTTACTCCGGTGGACAGTATCTGAGAAGCTATTAACTTCAGGCGACGAGCTTCTAGGGACGGCCGTCAAATACCCCACCAACGGCAACAAGAGAGGAGCCGTGGCTATTGGGCTTGTCACTGCTGTTGTTAAATTTTGATGAACCTTTTGAAATGATTGTGGACTGTCCTTGTCAAAATGGAATTTTCAAAAAGTAAAGCCCGTCCAAAGAGAGCCCACATCTCTCTCTCTCTGTCTCTTTCTCTCGTGACTGCTCCACGTTACAGCACATTCTCGACATGAGATTTCTTTCACCTTATGGTAACACCCTCGCATCGTATCGAGTCTATTCCATCTTAGTTCAGGTATCCTTCCTCACCACCACCATCTCGACTCGAATCTTCACCTTAGCCCTGTTGGGATTTTGGAACCAAAATCCCATGAATGAATGAGAAGTGTGTGGGTGAAAGTGTCCCACATAGGGTAGAAGAAGATGGAAGATGGGTTCAATAGTTGGCCTCACAATGGGTTGCCCAAGGCGAACCACACTTTTGTGGAAGAGAGAGGACCTACGTCAAGCTAGGTCGGTCCACCTCCCGCGCGCCCGCCGCCGTCCGGCCGGCCTTCGGCTCGGTTCGATTCCGGTCCACTCTCTATCGGTTTTTTTTTTAGTTTTGAACAGACACGTTGTTTAGAAATTATTTATTTATTTATTTATTTTTGGACAAACAAACATGTCTTCGTGAGGTTGGTTCGCCCGAACGAAAATCGAAGCCCTTCGCGCTGTTCACGAACCAAACCGGTTTAAGGCTCGGCTCGTGACTGTTCACATGACCGAACAAAATTGTTCGGTTGGTGACTCTTCGGTTTCATCCTTCTATATCCGAAATTCCTTGATGACTATTCATTCATACATGACCGAAAAAAGTGCTCTTGGCATTTCATATTTTCGCGGCATTCTCGTGCTCTCTCATTCTTCATCATTTGTCATTTCGTGCGATTGTTTACGCAAAATTGCGTTCGTTGCGATCCCCGGATACGTACCGCCCGGAGGAACGAGATCCGTTCTATCCCGGGAGACGATTGTCCAATATCCTCGGGTGCGATTGAGGGGCCAAATTCGTCTTAAGGACACGACGTTAATTCGTTGGGCTCGGATCAACATTTTGCTTATTTGGTTGTACTGCTTTAGTCGATTTTCCTAACGCTTGATTTTAATTTCTCGATATATACGAACTTAGCCGACAACAATCTTAAGACGAATTTCGCTCGGTTGTTCGTATATTCTTATGCGTTGTTCATATCAAATATCATATTCCCGTTTCTTTAATTCGAACTTTTGTATAGTTCGTATGTTCCTTGTCATATCGTATAGAATACGATTCTATTTGCACATTACATCGTCGTTAACGAATTTTTCGAATATTGTTCATATTAGAAATTTTCAATTCATTCGTGAATATGGTATGTGTTTATATTTCAGAAATGGCTTCAACTTCGGTTAATCCTGTTCGAATCACGGAGAAAAGCCGGAAAAGTTCAATGGTACGGAATTCAAGAGATGGCAACAAAAGATGTTGTTCTATCTCACGACCTTGAACTTGGCTAGATTCCTCAATGAGGATGGTCCTAAATTGGACGTTGGAGAGACAAATAAAGAAAAGCTTGCTGTTGTGGACGCATGGAATCATTCGACTTCCCGTGTCGCAACTATGTCCTCAACGGTCCTGGACAATACTCTCTATAACGTATATAGTCCGCTAAAAACGGCTAAAGAGTTATGGGATAGTCTGGACAAGAAATACAAAACCGAAGATGCCGGATTGAAGAAATTCATTGTCGGTAAATTTCTGGACTTCAAGATGGTTGATTCAAAGACCGTCTTAAGTCAGGTTCAAGAGCTTCAAGTGATTATGCATGATATTCATGCTGAAGGAATGACTCTAAGTGAGACATTTCAAGTGGCTGCATTCATTGAAAAATTGCCACCATCCTGGAGAGATTTCAAGAATTATCTCAAACACAAGAGAAAGGAGTTGTCACTTGAAGACTTGATTGTTCGGTTGAGGATAGAGGAAGACAATAGAAATTCCGAAAGAAAGTTGGCAAGCAATTTGGCGGTCTCAAGGGTCAATGTTGTTGAAGAAGGATCAAAACCCAACAAGAAGAGAAAAATGACTAGCAAGTCTCGGAGAGGGATTCACCCAAGGCCCGAAGAAGTTCGTTGGCAAGTGCTTCAACCGTGGCAAGTCCTGGACATCGAGCCAAAGATCAGCAGAGCCAAGAAAAGACGTAAAACTCAAAGCTAATGTGGTGGAAGAAATTTCCAATGGTGTTGATGATATCAATCTAACGCCATGATATCCGAGTGTAATATGGTGGGAAATCCCAAGGAGTGGTGGATTGATATCTTGGAGCAACTCGTCATATTTGCGCCAATAAATCAATGTTCTCATCTTACATGCCTATGGAAGGTGATGAAAAACTCTACATGGGTAATTCATCGACCTCTAAGGTTGAAGGTGTTGGAAAGGTTGCTCTAAAGATGACATCGGGAAAGTTGTGACACTAAATAATGTGCTACATGTGCGGACATACGCAAGAATTTAGTGTCCGGATCTCTTCTTAGCAAGAATGGCTTCAAGTTGGTTTTTGTATCCGATAAGTTTGTACTCTCCAAGAATGAGATGTATGTAGGAAAGGGTTACCTCGGTGATGGTCTTTTCAAGTTAAATGTAATGATTGTTGTACCCAATGATGTTATGAATAAAGCTGTTTCGCTTATGTGCTTGAGTCTCTAATTTATGGCATGATAGATTAGGACACGTTAACTATAAGTCGATAAAGAAATTAATGAACATGGGATTATTGCCAAAATTCGAATGTTCTAGTGAGAAATGCCAAGTGTGTGTTGAATCTAAATTTTCTAAGCCTCCTTTTCATTACGATTACACGAACAATAGAGTCTCGAACCTTTAGATTTAATACACACGATATATGCGATATGAAATCAATACCGTCAAGAGGTGGTAATAAGTATTTTATCA